TAAAGTTGTTTTATTTACTCCATTAATTCTCTTCAGTTTTATATGGTCGTACTAGCAGATATTTAAAGTTCAGGGGAAAAGAAGGATAAATAACCCACATTTGACTATTTTTGGCCAGCCTGCTATAGCATGACTCCCGCAAAACCTCCTCCTTAATTATATATATTTTGGGGAGTCGGCAGGAGTTGTCACATGTGCTCATAAACAAGTACAATCACTTACTAATGGACATTGGCTATTTTCTTCTCACTTGCCTCACCTACTACTTGCTAGGCTTGCTCCATCAACTGATTATTGCTGATATTTCTCCAGGTTTTATGGATTACTTCTTGGCCACCATGTCTACTTTTGCTGAGTGTGGATCCATTTTGTCTGGATACCACCACTCTTGCTGAGTATGTTAATCCAAAGGGCTGCCAGTCCTGCTTACTTTCTGCTGGGTATCATCCCCTACAACCACTTCATTACTCTTATACCAAATGTTCCCTATGGGGGCCACAAAGAGGTCCTTTATAAAGCAAAATGTCTCTCTCCCCCTTTTGTCTGTATTTTTTTTTATTAAAGATTTTATTTATTTGATAGCACAAGCAGGGGGAGGGCAGAGGCAGAGGGAGAGGGAGAAGCAGGCTCCCTGCTGATCAGGGAGCCCGGCTCAACACAGCGGTCCCAGGGCTCGATCCCAGGACCTGGGATCATGCCCTGAGCCTAAGGCAGACACTTAACTGACTGAGTCACCCAGCTCCCCGTCCTGTATTTTTTAATGGGGAACTGGAGCAGTGTTGTTTGTATATCAGAGCATTTTGAGAAATAGGGCATTTTTCTCAGTCTTCGCACTCCATTGAGACTATACATGAACCCTTGGTGCTGAGCTGGAAGACAAGTCCAGATAATAGACTCAAACCTGTACTATTCTCAGGATTTCTCTTTATGTCCAAATACAAAGGGTTGTGGCCTTTGCACTTGACATTTGAAACTCTCCATGGACCTCATTTTGCTTGTTTTTCCCCAAACTTTGTAAATTCTGAGTACTTTAGGACTTTCAGACTTAGTAAAAATATGGGCAGCGGATCTATTGGTTTTCAGGTTAAAAGCATTCCTGCTTCTTAGAAATAGCCAATGTGGGGATGCCTTGGTCGGTTAAGCATCTGCCTTCGGCTCAGGTCATGATCCCAGGGTCCTGGGATTGAGTCCCACATCGGGCTCCTTGCTCAGTGGGAAGTCTGCTTCTCCCTTTGTCTGCCACTCCCCCTGCTTGTGCTCTCTCCCTCTCTCTCTCTGACAAATAAATAAATAGAATCTTTAAAAAAAAAATAACCAGTGTGGATTACAAGGAAAATTATTCTTTGCTCTCCATTTCTGTTATCAGGGGAAAGTTGACAAATTCTTTATTATTGAATGGACTTAAATGGAAAAACAGAGTTTCAAGTGCAGTCTGCTTTTGATATATAAGTAAAGGTGTGGCCCTTTTGGCTTTAACTATAAAATTATTTTCATATTTAATTTGCATAATAAAAGGTTTTTTTATTTAGCTACTAACAACTAAACTTCAGCCTTGTCTTTGCCCACATTGTCATAAATTCTAATTATTGGTGTCTGAGTAAACACTAAATTGAAGAATGCGAATTTTTATTTTCTAGTGTAGTCTAAACGTTGTGACTTCTGTTGTTCAATATCAGAGGAAATATGCTCCTGTTTCATCACATCCTCTCTCTGTTCCCAGTGAAATATCAGTCCATTTGCATGTCCTAATTCAAATACTTTCTCTTGTATAGAAACTAGATGTTTTACCTTCATAAAATCCCTATTGTACTTTGTACTTATTCTTTTATTCATTTACCTTGTGAAATTACTATCTAAGGTGAGCGATTGTGTGTAATACACTTCTTGTGTTTTTTCCAGATAAATTTGCATAATGCTAGAGATATTGAGTAATAGCAGTAGCAGCAACAACAATGGTAACAATAAATTAATTGAATAAAAGTGCCCTCAAAATAGTCCTGAGGTAGGTACTTTATTATACCCATTTTATATCTGGGGGGACCTTAGAGAAATAAGTTAGTTGTCCAAGTTAGCTAGTAAACTGAGAAGTTAGAATAAGAAACCAGGCGGTTAGAGTCTAGAACCTATACATTAAGCTTACTAAATGCAAGTAAATATTTATTTATTTGTTTTATTTATATATAAAGTTATAATATTTATTATTTATTTATTTATTGTTTCTTTAAACAAACATTCCAGGCCTCACCCATCCAAATGAGAAGGGTGCATTTTACATATTCTAATACAGTAAGTATTTTGGTTTTAAAAAAAAGTATAACCCTAAAGTAATAATCCCAAAATAAGCCTCATAAAACTAACTGAAAGCAATTCCAAAAAATACGGCTTTGGAAATATTTTGAGTAATAGCAGCATCACTAGAATCACTCCCAAGGAGACAACTGTTGAGATAATGCCCAATTGAATTGAAAAACTTGTAATTAGCTTAGTATCACTTTTTCTCTACTGCCTGCCGATAAGGAACGTCATCCTCTTTCACAGTGCTGAGGTCGACTAGCTCTTCTGCCCCATACCTGTATACAGTGGCAGCCAGCTTCTGGTGACAGCAGGATAGATCTGGGGACTGACGGGTCCTTTGTTTTATCGCTACCCTTTTAAGGCACTTTAGTTCAAGGAAGAGAGTGAACTCAGATCAATCCAAATATCTCTATTATTTTTTTTTAAAGATTTTATTTATTTGACAGAGAGAGAACAGCAAGAGAGGGAACACAAGCAGGGGGAGTGGGAGAGGGAGAAGCAGGCTTCCCGCGGAGCAGGGAGCCCGATGCGGGGCTCGATCCCAGGACCCTGGGACCATGACCTGAGCCGAAGGCAGACGCTTAATGACTGAGCCACCCAGGCGCCCCATCTCTATTATTTTTATAGCCTGTTTCCTTGTTACCCATTTTCAGCTTCATTTTTCTATCACTTTCTACCATGCTTTTTAATCTACTTCCTTGCTTGGCATATGCCATCCTTTTACTCACCTTACTACTTGTTCTCCCTCTCACACCTCTAGATAGCCCAATATTCGAGAGAGCTCTGGTTTCAAGCATAGTCTGCTTATATTCAAAGCCTGCCTCAACTACCTGCTGGCTATGTGGCTTCTCAGTGCCTCAGTTTCCTCATTATAGGAGTAATGATGGTACTACTTCAAAGGGTAGCTCTAAGAATTAAATGAGTTAATACATATAAAATGTTTAGAACAATGCTTGTAATGAGGTCAGTACTTAGCAAGTATTGCTGTTGCCTTTTATCATCATCGTTTTCTTTATCATCGTTTAACTGGTGAAATCCTATGCTTCTTTGAGGTCCTGCTAACATTTCACAACTTCTCTGTAGCTTCCTCAGAGCCCCACTGTTCCAGGCAGGCTTGGCTCTTCTTCCATGCTGCCACATTGTTCACTCTGCCATTTCAGTATTGGCACACTGCATCTTGTTATTTGAACATGCATCTCTTTCTTGATTATTGTAAATACAGTGACATCAAATGTAACGGTGAAGGAAGGAAGGAAGAAGTTTGTACTACGTCTAAAATTATTTTGGGGGGCGCCTGGGTGGCTCAGTCATTAGGCGTCTGCCTTCGGCTCAGGTCATGATCCCAGGGTCCTGGGATTGAGCCCTGCATCAGGCTCCCCGCTCGGCGGGAGTCTGGCTTCTCCCTCTCCCACTCCCCATGCTTGTGTTCCCTCTCTCTCTGTCAAATAAATAAATAAGATCTTTAAAAATAAAATTATTTTGGGTTATCACCCATATGAATAGTATGGGAAATATTTTTAGTCACTCCTAATATTAAAGAAGCTGGGGGCTTTTTCTTCTGTCTAAAGATGTCATAAAATATTTTTCAAGCTTTCTTTGTTATTCAGAAGTTTATTGGAAAGAGCAATTTTTTTATTATCTCTATAAAGAAAGTATCAGTAGTTTACATATTTCTAATATATAGTGAACTATTCATATAGTATAGTACTACATGTATTTTTTTTTTTTTTTAAGATTTTATTTGAGAGATAATGAGATAGAGAGAGAGAGCATGAGGGGGGAGGGTCAGAGGGAGAAGCAGACTCCCTGCTGACAGCAGGGAGACCGATGCGGGACTCGATCCTGGGACTCCAGGATCATGACCTGAGCCGAAGGCAGTCGCTTAACCAACTGAGCCACCCAGGCGCCCCAGTACTACATGTATTTCTAAGCAAACATTTGGAAGTTATAAAATATTTGTAAAATGTTGACATTTTTTTCTGATTCATATTGGCCTTTCTCCAATTAGTCCAAATTAATGACATACTACTTCATGAAAAAGTATCAGTAATATCCATCACTAGCCCCTGATATTAAAACTGGGAGGAAATACTCAATGAACTGTTTTTGTTATCTTGTTTTTTCCATCTTAATGTATTTAGAGTAGAATATCTGAATCTATCATGACATGCAGATTAACAAACTTTTCTGAATGCTAATGTGGTTTTACACAGTTTACCTTTAAGTAAATGTTTCTTATAATAGTGATTTACCTTGCAAATTCCATTTTAATTAGCTTGTTTGTATGTGGGAGATCATAAATATTTGCTTTGTATATTAAAAATACACCACAAAATGTGTTTGTACTTAATAATTACCTAACAGATGTTTCCTTTTCTTAAAATGTTTTAAAAATGCTTAAATACTAAATAATTCTAAATATACTCAGAGCCTTAAAAATCAAACAAGTTACTGAAAATTCAAATACATATATTCTTCTTACCACATTTCTCAGTGAGATGGCATACAACATTTAGGAAGAGTGTATTTTTCTTTTTCTAGAGTTTATTTCTGGATGGTTAACCAAGGATATGTTAAAATATGTTTATTCTAATGGACGCCATATCTCAAATATGAGTAGTGTCAAATGATTGTTATTTTTCTAAGGGATCTGGTTTTATTGACAATAATTAATTGGCATCTCTTTTTAACTATTTTTTAAACAGGACAGAGATTTCTTCTGCCATCAGATGTCTTTCTGCTTGACTGAACTGCACCTGTGGTCTTTGAAGAATACCTTACACATTGGGGGTAAGTGAGCTCTGGGTTAATTTCAGTATTTTTCAAATATAAGTTATAATGTTATAAGTAAGTATTAGCAAAGGTTAGAGCCTGGATTCTCTAGCTAGAATTGCATTACTTTCTTATACTTAATGAAAAATTGGTTAATGAAAAATAATTCTTTTTAGTTACTCTGAAAAAGTTATTTTTTTCAACTTGAGTTAGATTTTCTGTTATGAAATTAATTTTATTGGCCTAATACTAGTTTCCTTTTAGGATACATACATGTTCAGTTTTTTCCTGGGATTGTTCATAATGACTGATATATATTCATAAATATTTGCAGGCTAGCTAATGGTAAGGGTATTTCTATTCGATATTAAGATAATATTTCAAACATACAGCTAAGATGTACAATTAATTATGTTTATATTCTTTCATTTCACATTTTGGAGGACAGGAGTAACGTAAGTATGTTTTAATGATGCTTATTAGTATTTTAGCATAAAGTATGTATTGTTAGGAAATAACTGTTAAAATATCTTCTCCTCTTTGATTATCCAAAACAACTCTAGTATTTAGAAGGAGAGTTTTATTTATATGCCTTTAGCATCATTACTAAGAAGATGGTTTGCCTTGCAAATGTAATTATAATTTCACTAAGTTTACTTTGCTTAAAATGTGCTAAGGATAGAATTTCCAATTAAACAAGATAGATTTAAAAACACATTCGCTTCCTCCCCAAATTCTTCTAAAATGAGAATAAATGAATTAAAATAAAGAAGGCATAAACCCACAAGGTCTAAGAGAATAGGAGAGGAGACAATTGCAATTGCGCAATTTTTGGAAGAGGGAAGGGATGGAGGAATTAGCAAAACTTAAAAATCTGAATATCAAATGTCTACAGAAGAGAATTCCAAAGACAGCCACTCTGTGTCTCAGAATTCCAGAAAGATACAGAAATTTGAGAAGCCAGATACTGCAGAAGGATGGGGATTCATTCAGTATGAGGGTGACAACAAAAGGACTTGAAATTTTGCTTATGAAGTGGTGAGACACCTCTCATACATGTGGAAGTATTTAATTAGAGAGGCTCTAAACTTGGAGACATCAGCCCCAGGAAAAGAAGACAGGGGAAAGGTACCGAAGTGAAAATAGTGATGAAGTGAAAACCTACATACAGATGGGTGAAGTCCTTTTAATCCCACTTGATTCTGAAATGTGTCACAGCCAGTTGTGTACTTTCCAAGAAAGAAGGAGTTTGAGGGCCTGGAGCAACTGCACGACCCCAAAGAGAAGACCTATTGACATTGACATTTGAGGGGGTCCTCCAGTGAAACACCCTGGTCCCTGGCTGATCAGTGAAGCCCACCAGTTGGCAAGCCCTCTTCATGTACACAGAGCTTTTAATCAGTTTTCTAGTGCCTCATTTTTAAATATGAAGAGCAAGAAACAAAATACAGAAGTTTCAGAAAACACTGGAAAGTGATTCTGACCTCTTGGAAATTAAAAATAGCAGAAAAAAATTTTAAACTCAAAAGAGCAACAACAAAAGAATTCTCTCCAAAAATAGAAGAGAGAAAAAAAAAAAAAAAACCACAGGAAGAAATTCAGCTTATTTCACTGCTAGTGAAAGTATAAATTGGTGCAACCACTTTAGGAAACAATTTGACATTATCTAGTATAGTGGGAGCTATATGTCACCTATCGACCAGTAATTCCACTCCTGGGTATATACTCTAGCAAAAGCCCTGACACTTGTGCACCAGGAGACATGTACCAAAATGTTCATAATAGTACTGTTCATGATGCAGGCAACTAGAAACAACCCAGCAGGAGAATGGATAAATACATTTATGCGGGGCGCCTGGGTGGCTCAGTCGTTAAGCATCTGCCTTCGGCTCAGGTCATGATCCCAGGGTCCTGGGATCGAGTCCCACATCGGGCTCCCTGCTTGGCGGGAAGCCTGCTTCTCCCTCTCCCACTCCCCCTGCTTGTGTTCCTGCTCTCGCTATCTCTCTCTCTGTCAAATAAATAAATAAAATCTTTAAAAAAAATACATTTATGCAACAGAGAAAGTGAATGCGTTATAGCTGTATGCAACAGCATCAGTGAATGTCAAGAATATAATATTGGGCAAAAAAAAAAAAGTAAGTTGCAAAAGAGTACAAATAGTATGATTGCATTTAGAGGAAGTTCAAAAACAATAGATAGAAAATCTGATAGAAAAAAGTGAAATGAATGCTGTGACAAAAGATAAGATTAATAAACAGGAGCGATAAGAATAGTAGAGTCTCAACATAGGAATACTACACTCAATTACTAATTCTGGGAAAAGCAGCAAAGAGGAAGCAAAGAAATTATCAAAGAAATATTACTAGAAATTTTCCTAGAACTAAGAAAATGAGTTTAGGGCGCCTGGGTGGCTCAGTTGGTTAAGCGACTGCCTTCGGCTCGGGTCATGATCCTGGAGTCCCGGGATCGAGTCCCGCATCGGGCTTCCTGCTCAGCGGGGAGTTTGCTTCTCCCTCTGACCCTCCCCCCTCTCGTGCTCTCTCTATCTCATTCTCTCTCTCAAATAAATAAATAAAATCTTAAAAAAAAAAAAAAAGAAAATGAGTTTATAGGTTGAAAAGTCCTGTAAGTACTGAACACAATGAATGGAAGAAGACACATATGAAGGCACATCAGCGTGAAATTTCAGAACACTGAGCATAAAGAAAAAATCCAGAGATCTTATAGCAAAAAAAGAACAAATGGATCACATACAAAGGGTTGGAACTCAGATTGTCCTTGGCCTTTTTAACACTGATAGTGGACACTATGAAGCAATGGAATGATGTCTTCAAAATTCAGAGAGAAATTATTTCCAACTTAGTATTCTCTTCCCAGCCAGTCAGTCAGTTGTCAGAAGACATTTTCAGCTTTGTAAATACTCACCAAATTTACCTTCCTTTTCTCATTAAACTACCAGAGCATATGTGTCTTGCCAAACAAGGGAATTAATCCAAGACAGAAGGCACATCTGTCTAGTCAGGAAAATAGACAGTATCTGTGCATCAGACCTAGAAGTTGGGCAGTCCAGAATAGTACTGGATCATGAGGCTCTAGGGGAGATGTTGCCAATGAAAAAATTATACTGATTAGTCATTGAAATGTGAGAGTATATTGGAGATTAATTAGTGTTAACATTCTTTAAAAAGCTTTTATTTATTTGAGAGAGAGAGAGAGCACCAGCAGGGGGGAGGGGTAGAGGGAGAGGGAGAAGCAGACTCCCTGCTGAGCAGGGAGCCCGATGTGGGGCTCTATCCCAGGATCCTAGGATCATGACCTGAGCCGAAGGCAGATGCTTAACGACTGAGCCACCCAGGCACCTGTGTTAACACTCTTTTAAAGCAAATAAAAAACAAGGCAATGTTTAACATCAGGGAAGTTGTATAAAAAAAGGAAATGCAATCATATAGTGTACCTACCCCATGCTTCGGTTCTGAATAGTGTTTATGTATTCATTAATATTGTAAGCACTGACTTAACCAAAAATTGTGCTCTAATTATATTGGGAGGATGGGGAGAAGTGTAAGTCAAGTGTCTGTAGGTAGGGAGGGGTACACAGTGGTAAAAGATAACTGAATTCTCAATTTCCATAGTGGATAGGCAATAGATAATATCTACAACTGAAGAATCAAGAAATATTAGAGTGAGAAAACTATTTATAAATATGGAGGAATATACAGAAGAAACAGCTCATAGTTGAAAATAGTTCTCTCTAAGGAGGAGAGGGCTAGAACATATACAGTGTGGCAGTGTTGCTTATGTTGAAAGACTTGAGCAATATACCTGAACTTTTTAAAGCCCTGCCATGTTTGAATTACATATTTTAAGAAGATAGGAAGCCAAAAATAGCAATCTTTTTATACCCCCAAAGACATTGGTAATATCATAATTAATGATATTTTTCTACAAAGCTCAAAGCGGTATCAATGCAAATATTCTTTAAAAAGAAGTATGTGGGGCGCCTGACTGGCTCAGTCAGTAGAGCATGTGACTCTTGATCTTGGGGTGTGGATTCGAGCCCCACATTAGATGTAGAGATTGCTTAAATAAATACAAAAACTTAAAAAAAAAATTCAAGGCCCTTTATGTTCTTCATAGTTCTGTTCTAGAGTTGTAAATATTTGGCTGCACCTAGTGATGGATTATTATACTAGAGAATATTACCTGTGTTTATAATGCTTACGATTCTTAGATTTTAAAAAAAAACACCTTTTATTGAAGTATAGCATATGTATTGAAAAGTATAAAGATCATAAGGGTATGTTTTGAACTATCAAAAAATGAACACACCCATAAAATCATCACCCAAGAAATAAAATATTATCAGTATCTTAGGAGTGCTACTTATGACCTTTCCCAGTCACCCCTTATTATATATTTTCAATCTATCCAATAGAAATAACTGTAGTCTTTAAAATTATATGTCCTGGGGTGCCTGGCTGGCTCAGTTGGTAGAGCATGTGACTCTTGATCTCGGGGTTGTAAGTTTGAGCCCCACATTGGATGTAGAGATTACTTAAAAATAAAATCTTAAAAAAATTATATGTCCCAATTATTGGCATGATGAATAGAATGGAGCTTTAATAAGTACACAGGATTGACTCTTTTGAAAAACTCTATTTGAAAAGTTAATTATATGGGGCACCTGGCTGGCTCAGTTGGTGGAGCATGTGACTCTTGATTTTGGGGTTGTGATTTTGAGCCCCATATTGGGCGTAGAGATTATGTAAATAAATCAATAAATCTTTAAAATAATAAAAATAAAAATTATAGCTATAATACATTTTTTTTTTCAAGTTTCATGTTTCAGTTTGAGAAAGTTTGGAGCAGTCAGTCACTAGGGGGCAGCCTGTACTGCTTCCACTACTTTAGAAACAGTTGTATCCTTTTGTTAGTAACTAGAATTATTTTGCATGGAGGGAAACAACTATTACTTCAAAGAAAAAGATATTTCACTATTTACAATTACGAATAAAATGGACACGATTATTTGGTTTTCCTGTAATTCAATTGCAAGGACAGAGTTCTTGGTTAAATCACTCTCAACATCTGGGAAGCCTTGCTTTTGCTTTTGTACCCCCAGAAGAGCACCTGAATTTGAATGGGTTTTGAAGGTTTTTTGAGTCTAAACAAGCTTCAGATAACTTAACCATACGTATGTTTCCTCTAATTTTCTCTTCCTCTCCTGCAAATTTCCCCCAAGCACCAGACTAGCTTCCAGCTAAACTGGAGAAAAGAAAGCAATAGCTCAGAAACAGGGCTAATTTCATTTGGCATTGCTTAGTGGCAGTTCCTTTTGTTAGCCCCCACCCCCACCCCGTGAAAAATATCAGAGGAAGTGTGAAAGAAAAAAGTTGGTCTTCCTTGATTTCAGTTTTTTTTTTTTTTACTACTCCTTTCCTCATGCCCTTGTAGTTTTGTGTAAATCTTTTTAGATTAGATTGATAAACCTTCCAGTTCCTGCATATCCCTAGAATAGATGAACTCATGTCCAGATACTTTTGAACTTATTAATTTATAGTAACATAAAAAGATTGTTTCTATCCTCGCCTACCTGCCCCCTAACCCCAGTCCTGCTGTATCATATAATATGGTTTGGTTTCTTACTCTCCAGAACTTTTTACCATAATCTAATGTTATTTCTTCTTTTCCATAGATAGAGACATAGGGATCTACCAGTATTATGACAAGAAAGACCCACCAGGTAAACTGTCTATTCTACTCAACTAATTTTTATAAATGAAATATTCTAAACTATAAAATACTGACTATTAAAAACTCTTTTTTTGAGCTTTAAATTCTAAAGTTAAAAAAAGTCATTTCAGTTCTTTAGAAAAATACTGAGGTTGAAATCTGTTCTATATAAAATAAAGCAATATCGAGAAAATACTGTAGAAGAACATGAAAATTTTCATTTTACTGCCGATCCAACTGATAACTGGACAGTCTATTCACGTTTATCTATCAGTGTCCCAGTAGAGGGCATTGTTAATGCGTGGGTCCCACTGTTGCTGGCCTCCTGGATCCTTACCTGATATCTGAAATAGGCATTTCTGAGTGAATGATCAATTTTCTTTATCTGATTAATCCTGTTAATCCCAGAAGTTTCATGATGGGCCAAAAGGTCTTTCTAGCTAGTTACTTCCTGTTTTGGTCTGTTGAAGTGGGGCTTGTGTGGGCATCCTGTGTGCTTAGCTTGGTGGTTAATAGGCTAACTTCATGATTCTGATGACAGACTGAAGCAGCTTCTGTTCTAGACTCCATTGCCGTTTTTCTTTTCCCTATCTGATGAGATTGTGAGCTCAGGATATTGGCCCACCTGTTGTGCTGTGTAAGCCTTTTTACTACAAATTTAGGAAATACGTCTATGAAATGAAAACATCCACATTATGGCATTTTTTTTCCAACTGCCTTTAAAAAATTTAGCATAATTTGTTAGTCTCAGCAATGTGCATAATATACATTATATGTGTGCATTTAAAATACAAAGTATTTTAATTAAAATAATTTCCACTTTTTTTTTCCTTCTTTCCTTCTTTCTCCTGCCATAGTATCAGTGACAGAGCATGGTAACTTAGAAGAAAAGCAGAAGCTGGCAGAATGTAAGCTTACTTTATACTTCTGTGTAATTATTATAAAACTGGAACTTGAATATCCCTGAAGATTCAGTCTTAAAAAATATTTTAAGCTTTCTGCACAAATATCTTAAAATTATAAATTCCCACTGTTTAGGTATATAAACATATGAGTGAGAATTATATGTGGTAGGCATTTCTAATTTAGACCATTGAAATCTCTATCCAGTTTTGATAAGATATATGCCTGTGTAAACATAAACTTTCTTAATGAACCATATTTATATCATTTAATATATTTAAAATAAGTGTATCATACTTAAATTCTGATAACATTTTGTTACACACACCATGCCTAAATTGTTTATATGTTTTACCCATTTTAAGAAAATAAAATTTGTAAAAAAAAAAAAAAGGAAGAAATTTGTAATGATTAGTATTAGCATTTTATTCTTTCTAGTCTTTTCTGTTCTCAGATATATAGATATGATGATATGGCTACAATGAAAGATGGCTTTAATGATTGGAAATTAAATATAATTTAACTTTTATTTGGAATACAGGTGGAGCTGAAAGTCCTACTTGTTCCCTTGTTTTAAATGGGCAACCTGACATTTAATTTTTTTCAATGCTGTATTAGTAACTACAATATAAATTTAAAAATTTGCATATATGCTGTATACATCATACATTATGCTTATAGAATGAAATTAATTTGCTGAAATAAGATAAATAGTAATTCTACTGTAAAATTTAAATGTCTGTATATACTATGAGTACGCACACAGGATATACACACATACATACAACTCTTTTTTTAGAATTATTATTTAGAATTCAAAGATGAATTTTCGTGATGAAATAGATATGGTTAAATGAATTTAAAATTTTGTTCTTTTACATAAAACTATTTTTAGTTTGTCTTAGGCTAATATTGAGATTTTACTAAATAATTTTATCTTTTAATTAAATGCATTTAAAACAAAACAAAGGCTTATCATTATTGAATTGTGTACATTTTAAAGAGGATCATTTTAAATAAAGTTTTAATAGGTGATGCTTCCTTTTAAATTTATATTCTGTGCATCATATTTTGTGTTTTATTTCTTTCCTCAGTATATCCAGTCACTTGTAGGAATTTTCAGGTCTGAGAGGGTTACTTGCAGAATTTGGAATTTCTTTTGGATTGAACTTTTAATTATTTATATGAGAAAGTTAATTCTCTGGTAAAGAGTTGGTCATTTACAACTAGGTACTAGATTCACAAGACTAGGAAACTTTCCCAGGGATTCTCTGAGCCGTGTTGGTTGTCATTATAAAATTATGATCACCAAGGTTGTTTTGTGGTAAAAATCCTGTTCCTATGACAAAGCCTTTCAAAAGGCTGTTATTTGATGATGGAAATGAAGCCCACTTCCTCTCAATTAAGGAGGTGTTTTATTTTAATCCTCCTAAGGCACACTGCTAAGCAGAGTTTCCTTTTTAAATCTTGTTTAACTAACTGTAGTACATATTTCATTTGCCAGCACGAGATTATCCGTGGACACTCAAAAATAGACGCCCAGAAAAACTTCGAGACTCACTCAAGGAGTTGGAGGTATCTTTCCAAAAGTTTCAAAAATGGCAACAAACAAATCTGTTTTAGAACATCTTTCAACAGTTTTAATTTTCATAAAGGATCAACTCTCCTGGTGATGATAGCTTTGCTTTTGTCTAGTGAGGAGTTCCAAAACAGTTGCATCTTTGTGTGGCATGCTGATCTTTTTTTTTTTTTTTTTTTTGTGCTTGCAAATCAGAAGCACTCTGATAACAACAATGTGTATAGCTAACTGCACTCTCTCTTTTTCTGTTTCCTTCAGGAATTGATGCAAAACAGTCACTGTGTGCTGAGCAAATGGAAGAACAAATATGTCTGTCAGGTAAAATGGTTTGACATACTTTTGGAGTGTTTAACCAATGGAGCTGAAAACTATGCAGTAATTGGTATTCTTGTGTTTATGATAGATAATGGACAAAAACTTTTTAGGAGTGGATATTTCATAGTTTGAATTCTAGTCATTCTAGAACTAACATTAGACAGATTGACACACCCACCAGGCTGCCTCATTAATCAATATAGTTGTACTGACACTGTGAACGCTAATAAAAATGGTATTTTTTGTTTAGATTTGTCTGAATGTTGTATTAGATGTTTCCTGGCATAGATTTAATCATATTTTTGAGTGAAGATAAAAGCACAGGACAGAAGGTTTTTTGGCATATTACTCTAATAAGCATTTGTGAGTACCATGCTTATGGAAACCAGCAAGCAGACTAGAGTTAGACCTAACATAAGACATTTGCTCTTATTTTTTGAACCCTCTAAGTTGTGCTGTTTAATACAATAGCCACCAGTCACCTGTGGTTATTTAAAAATAAATTTAAACTAATCAAAATTAAAGAAAGTTAAAAATTCAGTTCCTCAGTTGCACTACCCACATTTTAAGTGCTCAATAGCCACATGTTGTCATATATAGATAAAGAACATTTCCATCACAGAAAGTTCTGTTAGCACAGTTAGGACCTAGACAGCATGAGCTACATGTTGAATGGGTCTAGATTCAGGACATAATAATTAGTGACCATTGATCAGAAAATAATGGACAAATGCCTTAGCTTTGTTTATAGGCTTAAGAAATACTAGTTGCCTAGAAAAATCTTGTTTGTGATTAAAAGAATCATTAGTCATATTCTACTCATATGTGTAATTGAAGTTACATTAGTACTACTAATAATTATAACTGTTTTATGGAATTGAATATCCTATATGAATTTAAATTCTTACTTGTTTATAATGTGATTTATTTTAGGTCTAACTATTCTTGTTTGAAGTTTAGGCCTATGGCTCTATCCATAAATCTATAACATTGAATTTGTAGTTATTATGAGCATATCTTAATTGAGTATTTGAATATAGACTATCATTTTAATGGACTCTAGTTTTTCCTCATTTTTTGTTTAAACTAGCCTACTTTTATTCATGAAGGTAACTAGTTACCTCCTCAAATGGCATAAATCATTATTTTCCAGAGACTGTTTGCAAGGCTGAATTAATATTATCAGCAGCATAATACTTTCTAAGTTTGACTTAGGATTCTATCCAAAAGAATGAAATTATTTAAAAATTCATAATTTGTTTTCATTAAAGTTTTAATCAAAGTTTAAAACTTTAATGCAAAATATGCTCCAGGAAGTTTTAAACTTAGTACATCTCATTGTACTTCTCAATGCAATTACTCACCTTAAAAGCAAGCTCAAAATAATTTGACTGGAGGGCAAGCCTACTACCCATAGTAAGAGATCTGTCTTGTGGCCTCCGCCCTTACCATTGCACAGGGTAAGTTGGAACATGTCAGGCATCTTAAAATATGCAGTGAAGCATCCCAGTATGCAATCCTTTTTATTTTTTTTAATTTTAATTTTTTAAAAAAGATTTTATTTATATGACAGAGAAAAAGCGCACAGCACAGGTAAGGGGAGAGGCAGAGGGAGAGGGAGAAGTAGGCTCCCTGCTCAGCAGGGAGCCCAACCAGGGGCTCAATCCCAGGACTCCGAGATCATGACCTGAGCTGAAGGCAGACACTTAACCGACTGAGCCACCCAGGCACCCATAGGCAATCCTTTATAAATAGATGTTATTGCATTTTAATTTTTAAGCAAGTTTGTATGTATTTGTATATAGGGGGAATAAGGAGGAGGACGTCCCTCATTATTAAATTACTTCAATGCAGAAAAGGAATTTTCATGATAGAATATATATAAAATTACTTCTGTAATTTATAGCAAACCGACAACAGTGGTTTCTTAGGCTTTTGTACCAATGAGTCGCTTTTAATATTTCCAGTGAAGTGTATTTTTCTGTATGTTCTGTCATATTTTGTGCTTTATTTGTGTGATTGATAAGTTATTCCTAAAATAGACCTTTTACTACCAGCACATTCTTGATGTGATGGTATATTTTAATAAGATAACTTGACTTCCACCCTGCCCATCCTGATTAGTTCCCATATCTTTAGGGCCTTTGAAAGACTTCCTAACATTATTTATCCACTTCCTCAATTTCTAAACAAGACTGTGAGCTAAGTCTTCTAAAAATATGTGTGTATGTGCATTATCCTAAAGATCTCTAATATCATAGTAATTTAAAAATTTGGTGCTCAAACTAAATTTTTAAAAGGATCCCCTTAACATTTTGTTAGTTACAAAAGAAGTACTCCCCAAGTTACTCAAGGGTCCTCCTTTTGTGAGGTGTGGTGACTCCACCATAATACAGGCTTAAATTTCTTTTTTTTTTTTAAGATTTTATTTATTTATTTGACAGAGAGAGACACAGCGAGAGAGGGAACACAAGCAGGGGGAGTGGGGGAG